AGGCAAGCCGCGGGCAGGTGGCGTTCTCACCGCCCCACCCCACGCGGGTGGCCGAGAGGCCTTCATCTGTGAAACCCTAGAACAGGACAAGAAAATGGGCTTTTCCTGGAGATTCCCCTCCTCTGCCTGTCCACTGCTTCAGATCCCACCTTTGCGCGCTGCTGGCGGAGGAGCTGCTTCCTGGGGGAGATGACGCCCAAACGCAAATGTCGAACTCGCACACTGTTTCATCCGCACTAGAGTGCAGACCTGCAATAGTGGATTCCCTCCCAACCACAGACGTGGGGGGAGGGTGCTGACTTCCTAAGAGAAAGAAGTGAAAACCAGGAAGGGAGAAAAAGGCAAAGAAGCGAAAGAAAGGTGGGGGGAGGGCTGAAATTTCACTAAACGGTCCATTCATTTTAGTTTCTTCCTACAGGCACATCTACATCAGGTTCTGTCAAAGCGATTATCTCAACTCCATTGACATAGAGTAGAAAAGGCACAGGCCGCGGGCGGTGGCTCACGCCTGTAATCCCAGCGCTTTGGGAGGCCGAGGCAGGTGGATCACGAGGTCAAGAGATCGACACCATCCTGGTCAACATGGTGAAACCCCGTCTCTATTAAAAATACAAAAATTAGCCGGGCATGGTGGCGCGTGCCTGTAATCCCAGCTACTCGGGAAGCTGAGGCAGGAGAATTGCCTGAACCCAGGAGGTGGAGGTTGCAGTGAGCCGAGATCGCGCCATTGCACTCCAGCCTGGGTAACAACAGCGAAACTCCGTCTCAAAAAAAAAAAAAAAAAAAGAGAAAGAAAAGAAAAGAAAGAAAAGGCACGAGTGCAGAATCTAAAAGCCGTATTCAAAATTGGTGTCTACTGCACTTTGGGAAGCCAAGTCTAGTGAATCAAGACCAACCTGGCCAACATCGTGAAACCCCGTCATTACTAAAAATACAAAAATTAGCTGGGTGTTGGTGATGGACGCCTATAGTCCCAGCTACTCCAGAGGCTGTGGCAGGAGAATTGCTTGAACTCGGGAAGGTAACTACCTTCTTTTGCACATAGCATAATATTTTCAAAGTTCATCCATGTTGTAGCATGTATCGGTACTCAATTCCTTGTTATGGCCAAATAATATTCCATTGAATGGACATCACCTTTTTTTTTTTAGACAGGCTCACTCTGTTGCCAAGGCTGGAGTGCGGTCATCTGATCTTGGCTTACTGCAACCTCTACCTCCCAGGCTCAAGTGATTCTCGTGCCTCAGATTTCCCTGGAAGAATCAGGCTCACAGCCTGTTTCTTGCAAACAGTAGCTGGGATTACAGGCATGGGCCACTATGCCTGGCTCATTTGTGTATTTCTAGTAGAGAAGGGGTTTCATCATGTTGCCCAGGCTGGTCTGGAACTCCTGGCCTCAAGTGATCTGCCTGCCTTGGCCTTCTAAAGTACTGGGATTACAGGCATGGGCCACCGTGCCTGACCCAACATCACCTTTTATGTGTCCGTTAATCCTTTGAGGGACATCTGTTTCCACCTTTTTGCCTGTTATGCATGATGCTGCTATGAACATTTATTTGGTTTTTGTGGGGACCTCGTTTTGATCTTTACAGCAACTGTCCAAGGTACATATTATATCTCCTTCTATAGATAACAAAACTGACTGGGGGTGGTGGCTCACACCTGTAATCCCGGCACTTGGAAAGCCCAGGCAGGAGGATCCCTTAAACTCAGGAGCTCTAGGCTTCAGTGAGCCATGATGGCACCACTGTACTCCAGCCTAGGTCACAGAATGAGACCTTGCCTCTCACCCAAAAGAAAAAATGTGTGTGTGTGTGTGTGTGTGTGTGTGTACAGAGATAAGAAAGTTCACTATAAGAAAAAGAGAAAAAAAATTCATTGTAAGACTGTAGACAGCAATTTTGTTTTTTGTTTGTTTATTTTTGTTTTTGTTTTTTTGAGATGGAGTTTCATTCCTGTTGCCCAGGCTGGAGTGCAATGGTGTAATCTCAGTTCACTACAACCTCCATCTCCCAGGTTCAAGCAGTTCTCCTGCCTCAGCCTCCCCAGTAGCTGGGATTACAGGCGCCTGCCACCACGCCCGACTAATTTTTTTGTACTTTTAGTAGAGACGGGGTTTCACCATGTTGGCCAGACTGGTCTTGAACTCCTGACCTCAGGTGATCCGCCTGCCTTGGTCTCCCAACGTGTTGGGATTACAGGTGTGAGCCGTCATGCCCAGGCTTTGTTTTGCTTTTAGAGAAGGGATCTGGCTATGCCCAAGCTAATCTCAAACTCCTGGCCTCAAGCAATCCTCTAACCAGTCTTTTAATGTTAAGCAAGGGCCAAGTTCCATTCTGCTTTCTACATTTCACACCTCTTCAGGAGAAGGACTCACCGTGACCTCAGTAATACAGAAGCCACCGCCGGTACATAGCCCTGACAGGCTCTCTCCACGAAGCAGAGATCGAGATCGGAGATGACCTCCCTCACTGCCCAGAAAGTCCTTCCCCCACCTATAAGACCTGGAAAAGGAATTGAGTAGCCAGGTGGGGAGCTGGCCCTCCTAGCACGTATTGAACTATAAGAACGAATTCTAGACATGGGAATTCAGTAAGAACAAGGGACACGATTCTTTCAGTGAAACTCACATGGCAGGATGTCTCCCTGAGCAGAACAGCTTCAGGTGACCGGGGGGCTACACTGTCTGTAGATGACAGGGTCCAGCCTCTGAGGCAGAAGTAAGAAGCAGCTTGACCTGAAGCAAAGCTCAGGGTTATTGAGAACAAGATGAACTTTTCATGCTTTCTAAATCTGCCCCCAACACATATATATGTGCTAGTAGGAAAAAAGGCACCAGAATATAGTCATTTTTTGTTTTTTGTTTTTGAGATGGAGTTTCACTCTTGTTGCCCCGGCTAGAGTGCAATGGCACGATCTCAGCTCACCGCAACCTCAGCCTCCTGGGTTCAGGCAATTCTCCTGCCTCAGCCTCCCAAGCAGCTGGGATTGAAGGCATGTGCCACCATGCCCTGCCAACTTTTTTTTTTTTTTTTGAGATGGAGCCTTGGTCTGTTGCCCAGTCTGGAGTGCAGTGGCACAGTCTCAGCTAACTGCAGCCTCTGCCTCCCGGGTTCCCAGGTTCCAGCAGTTCTCCTGCCTCAGCCTCCTGGGTAGCTGGGGTTACAGGTACACTCCACCATGCCCAGCTAATTTTTCCATTATTTTAGTAGAAACGGGATTTCGCCATGTTGGCCAGGCTGGTCTAGAATTCCTGGCCTCGTGATCTGCCCGCCTTGGCCTCCTAGAGTGCTGGGATTTCAGGTGTGAGCCATTATGCCCAGCCTTTTGCCAAATTTTTTTTTTTTAAGTGATGGGATCTTGCTATATTGCCCAAACTGGTCTTGAACTCCTGGGCTCAAGCAATCCTCCCATCTTGGACTCCCAAAGTGCTGGGATTATAGGCATGGGCCATCACGCCTGGCCTAGATTACCTGTTTACAGGGAATGAACACATAACTTTTTTTTTTTTTGAGGCAGAGTTTCGATGTTGTTGCCCAGGCTGGAGTGCAATGGCGCGATCTCGGCTCACCACAACCTCTGCTTCCCGGGTTCAAGCAATTCTCCTGCCTCAGCCTCCCAAGTGGCTGGAATTATAGGCATGTACCACCATGTCTGGCTAATTTCGTATTTTTAGTAGAGACAGGGTTTCTCCATGTTGGTCAAGCTGGTCTTGAACTCCCAACGTCAGGTGATCCACCCATCTTGGCCCCCCAAAGTACTGGGATTACAGGCGTGAGCCACCACACCCAGCCATAACTTTTCTTTCAAAGGAAAACTTGTTCCTGAAAAACCATCCAAGCCTATATGCGCATCTGGTTCATGACATTTCTATTCCTCTGTGTAATTTAATGAGCCTTATAGATTCTGAACACTCTGTGTTTCTGTTTTCCCTCCCAGGCCTTACCTCTCCGGGTGATCAGCCCAGAATTAGATAACCTCACTAGAGAGCATCAGCCGGGTGCAGTGGCTCACACCTGTAATCCCAGCACTTTGGGAGTCCGAGGCAGGTGGATCACTTGAAGTCAGGAGTTTGAGACCAGCCTGGTCAACCTGGTAAAACCCCATCTCTAAGAAAAATACAAAAATTAGCTGGATGTGGTGGTGCGCACCTATAATCCCAGCAACTCTGGAGGCTGAGGCAGGAGAATTGCTCGAACCTGGGATGAAGAGGCTGCAGTGAGCTGAGACTGTGCAACTGCACTCCAGCCTGGGCAACAGAGCGAGATCCCGTCATGAGATTCTGTCTCAAATAAACAAATAAGAGGCCAGGCACAGTGGTTCAGGCCTGTAATCCTAGCACTCTGGGAGGCCAAGGTGGGCAGATCATGGGGTCAGGAGTTTGAGACCTGCCTGGCCAACATCGTGAAACTCCATCTCTACTAAAAATACAAAAATTAGCCAGGTGTGGTGGCACGTGCCTGTAGTCCCAGCTACTCAGGAGGCTGAGGTGAGAGAGTTACGTGAATCCAGGAGGCAGAGGTTGCAGTGAGCAGAGACCAAGAAGATGGTTGCATCTGTCACAACCAGCACCACAGGGCCTGGCAGTGGATGGATGGATGCATGGATGGATGGATGCATGGATGGATGGATGGATGCATGGATGGATGGATGCATGGATAGATGGATGGATGCATGGATGGATGGATGGATGGATGGATGGATGGATGGATGGATAGATGGATGGATGCATGGATGGATGGATGGATGGATGGATGGATGGATGGATGAACAGTAAAAGCTGTAATCAATGAAGGCCAGCAGGGCACAGGAGAGGGGACCCAGGGAACAGAACAGGAGGACACTTGTGTCACTCAGAGTCCTGCCAGGGAAGGCCAGGGAGGCTCCAGGTGAGGACTCCAGAGCCAAAGATCTTTGATGGAGAACTGAGAGTTAAACTTTGGCCCCACCTAAAGTGACCTGAAAGCCCTGGCTAATTTGGGACAAGATGAAACACTTACCTGCACACAGCATCAAAGAGCAGTGGGCTGCGGGAGGCACCTCACAGTTCTCTTGAAGCTTCTGGGATACAGGGATTTAAAGCAGAAAGAAAAAGGTGATATAGTTTAAAGAAAAAGAAAAAAATGAGCAGGACTCCTGACTTTCTCCACCCCTAGATCCTGGAAAACTGGGCAGGTCAGGCCCCTCAGCCACATCATCATTTGAAAATGAAAATTCAGCCCAGCCTATGAGCAGGCATTTTCCAAATGGCTACGGAATTCCTGCACCTTCCAAAAATACCTCTTCGTGCAACTCCTGCCAGGGAGAGAGGGCCACATGCCCAGCAGGCTGGAGCTGACCAATTGCGCTTCCTGAACCCGGGAGCTGACACCACGTGCTTTGCAGACCCCAAATTCAGGAAATGCCCTCTGTTCCGTGGGGAAACCTAGCCAGACAGCTGTGCTGTGTCCCAGGCTGAGAGCAAAGCACCCTCTAGTTCTACTTACAACCAAGGAGACTGTAAGGCTTCCAAGAATGGTTTCCAAACCTGACCATGCATCTAAACTACCTGCATAGCTTAGTAAACACAAGCCTCTTGGCAGTTTTAGGAAGCAGAAGCTCTGGGAGGAAATCCCCACAACCCCCACAGTGAGTCAGGGGTGGGCATAGTGACTGAGGGGCAGCATCAGTGTGTCTTCACAGAGACTGGTTGGTGTTACGCTGTTTCTTGAACTGGGTGTAATTAGCTGGTTTATTTACTTTGTGAAAATTCATCAAGGTACATACACATGTGGGCTTTTCTGTATTTTTTTTTTATTTAACTTTATTTTTTGTTTAATTGAGATGGGGTGTCACTGTATTGCCCAGGCTGGTCTTGAGCTTCTTGGGCTCAAGTGATCCTCCTGCCTCAGCCTCCCAAAGTGCTGGGATTACAGGAGTAAGCCACCGTGCCTGACCTTTTCTGTATGTTTGTTATATTTCATTAGGAGAAAAAAAAAAAACAACTATGTGAGGTGGTTCACACCTGTAACCCTAGCACTGTGGGAGTCCAAGGCAGAGGACTGCTTGAGGCCACGAGTTCCAGAGCAGCCTGGACAACATAACCAGACCCTGTCTCCACTTTAAAAAAAACGAAGGCCAGGCACAGTGGCTCACACCTGTAATCCCAACACTTTGGGAGGCCAAGGCAATGAAGGCCAGCAGGGCACAGGAGAGGGGACCCAGGGAACAGAACAGGAGGACATTTGGGTCACTCAGAGTCCTGCCAGGAGGATCTCTGCCTAGAGGATCACTTGAGGCCAGGAGTTGGAGACCAGCCTGGGCAACATAAGGAGATCCTCATCTTTACAAAACTTTTTCAAAGTTAGCCAGTGTGGTGACGCATGTCTGCAGTCCCAGCTACTTGAGAGGCTGAGCAGGAATATCTCTTGAGCCCAGGAGTTTTAGACCAGCCTGGGCAACATAGTGAGACCTGCTCTCTACAGAAAAGGGTTAAGTAGGTGTGGGGATGTGCACCTGTGGTCCTGAACCCAGGCTACTTGGGAGGCTGAGATGGGAGAATTGCTCAAGCCCAGGAGTTTGAGGCTGCAGTGAGCTATGATCATGCCACTGCACTCCAGCCTGGGCAACCGAGGAAGACCCTGTCTCTTTAAAAAAAAAAAAAAAAAAAGCCGGGCACGGTGGCTCACACCTGTAATCCTAGCACTTTGGGAGGCTGAGGTGGGTGGATCACGAGGTCAGGAGTTCGAGACCAGCCTGACCAATATGGAGAAACCCCGCCTCTACTAAAAAAAAACAATTAGCTGAGTGTGGTGGCACATGCCTGTAATCTCAGCTACTCAAGAGGCTGAGGCAGGAGATCTCTTGATCCCAGGAGGCAGAGGTTGCAGTGAGCCAAGATTGCACCATTGCTGGGCAACAAGAGGGAAACTCCATCTGAAACAAAAAGCATGCTTGGCAAAAGCACTCAAGGCCATGATAACTTGCTCATCCCTCAGTGGGCCCAGAGCTCCACTTCTCTTCTTTTCCTCCGGCAGCTCCATCCACCTGCGTTTCCCAGCCTAACTCTGCCAGCAAGACTTCAGCCAGCCTTCACATCACACCATGAAAGCCATATGACCCTTGTGATCTGTGCCCTGATTGATTTATTTCCTTCCTTCCTTCCTACCTTCTTCCCTCCCTCCCTTCTTCCTTCCTCCTACCTGCCCTTCCCTCCTTCCTTCCCTTCTTCTCTCCTTTCCTCCCTCCTTCTTTCCCTTCTTCCTTCCTTCCTTCCACTTTCTTTCCTTCTTTTTTAGAGACTGTATTTCACTCTGTCTGGAGTGCAGTGGCATGATCATAGTTCACTGCAGCCTCAAACCCCTGGGCTCAAGCAATCCTCCCCTGTCAGCCTCTTGAGTAGCTGGGACCACAGGCACATGTCACCACATCCAGCTAATTTTTAAGTTTTTTGTAGAGATGGGGGTCTTGCTATGTTGTCCAGACTGGTCTCTACCTCTTGGCCTCAAGTGATCCTGGTATGGGGATCACAGGCATGCGTCACTATGCCCAGCCTGATTTATTCCTTTCTTCTTTTTTTTTTGAGACAGAGTTTCACTCTTGTTACCCAGGCTGGAGTGCAAGCGCGATCTTGGCTCACCGCAACCTCCGCCTCCTGGGTTCAGGCAATTCTCCTGCCTCAGCCTCCCGAGGGGCTGGGATTACAGGCACGCACCACCATGCCCAGCTAATTTTTTGTATTTTTAGTAGAGATGGGGTTTCACCATGTTGGTCAGGCTGGTCTTGAACTCCCGACCTCATGATCCACCCACCTCGGCCTCCTAAAGCGCTGGGATTACAGGTGTGAGCTACCACGACGCCAGCCTGATTTCTTCCTTTCTTAAGGCACTTCTCCCAGTTGACTTTGTACTCTCTTTCTTTGTGTTTTTGTAAGTTGTCTGCCCTCACCTGCGTCAGTCAGATAGATAGGAAGCTGTTACGATAGGCCCATGACAGGCCTTGGAATATTTGATGAGATGGAGGAAACTGAACAGTGGGACAGCATTTCCCTCAAGAATCACCAGTTCACTTAATTCTATATCTCCGTGACCTACAGACAAAAAGTCTTTTTGTTTGTTTTTTACTTTTCTTGTTTTTCTTTTTATCAAGACAGAGTCTTGCTCTGTTGACCAGGCTGGAGTGCAGTGGAGTGATCTCGGCTCACGGTAACCTCTACTTCCCGGGTTCCAGCGATTTTGCTGCCTCGGCCTCCCAAGTAGCTGGAATAACAAGCTTACACCACCACGCCCAGATAATTTTTGTATTTTTAGTAGAGACAGGGTTTTGCCATGTTGGCCGGGCTGGTTTCGAACACCTGACCTCAAGTGATCTACCTGCCTCAGTCTCCCAAGGTGCTGAGATTACAGGCGTGAGTCACCACACCTGGCCTTGTTTTTTAAGTTTTTTGTTTTTTGGGTTTTTTTGAGACAGGGTCTTGCTCTGTTGCCCAGGCTGCAGTGTGATGTGCAATCTCGGCTCACTGCAGCCTCCACCTCCTGGGCTCAAGCAATCCTCCCACCTCATCCTCTGGAGTAGCTGGGACTATAGGCGCAGGCCACCACATCTAGGTTTAAAAAAAATTTTTTTTTAGGCTGGATGTGGTGACTCACGACTGTAATCCCAGCACTTTGGGAGCCCGAGGCAGATGGATCACCTGAGGTCACGAGTTCAAGACCAGCCTGGCCAACACAGCGAACCCGGTCTCTACTAAACCACAAAAAATAGCCATGTGTGATGGCGTGCGTCTGTAATCCTAGCTACTTGGGAGGCTGAGGCAGGAGGCTCGATTGAACCTGAGAGGCGGAGGTTACAGTGAGCCGAGATAGCGCCACTGCTCTCCAGCCTGGGTGACAGAGTGAGATTCCATCTCAAAAAAAAAAAATTTTTTTTTTTAATAGAGACCTCTATGTGTTGCCCAGGCTGTTCTCAAACTCCTGGGCTCAAGGGATCCTCCTGCCTGGGCCTCTCAAAGCACTGAAATTACAGGCATGAGCCATGGTACCCAGCCTGTTTTTATTTAAAACTTTATTTTGAAAAATATTTAAACATAGAAAAAAATTGTGAGAATACAATTAACTCTAATATTCATTTGCTTCACCAAGTGTCCAACCGTTGATTCACCAATTAACATTCGCCTCATTAGCTTAATCTCTCTGTATATGCATAGGTAGATTATTACTGCTAACAGTGCTGAACCATTTAAAATCACAGACACCGTCTTATGTCCCTTTACTCCTAAATACTTCATTAGTGTCTCCTAAAAATGAGAACATTCTCAGCCAGGGGTGGTGGCTCATGCCTGTAATCCCAGCACTTTGGGAGTCCAAGGCAGGGGGATAACCTGAAGTCAGAAGTTCGAGACCAGCCTGGCCAACAGGGTGAAACCCCATCTCTACTAAAAATACAAAAAAGAGTCAGGTGTGGTGCCAGGTGCCTGTAATCCCAGCTACTTGTGAGACTGAGGCAGGAGAATCACTTGAACCTGGGAGACGGAGGTTGCAGTGAGCTGAGATGGTGCCACCACACTCCAGCCTGAGGGACCAGCAAGACTTCATCTCAAAAAAAAAGAAAAAAATAGAACATTCTCTTATACAATGATCAAATGAAGGAAATTTAACATCACTATGAGACTGTTATCTAATGTAAGTCCGTGCTCGTTTCCCTGATGGTCCCAATGACGTCCTCTGTATGTAGTGAGATGCATTGCAGTTAGCTGTCATGGTGGTGAGATGGGTGGCAGTTACCTGTCATGGTGGTGAGAGGCGTGGCAGTTAGCTGTCATGGTGGTGAGATGGGTGGCAGTTACCTGTCATGGTGGTGAGAGGCGTCGCAGTTACCTGTCATGCTGGTGAGATGGGTGGCAGTTACCTGTCATGGTGGTGAGATGGGTGGCAGTTAGCTGTCATGGTGGTGAGAGGCGTGGTAGTTACCTGTCATGGTGGTGAGAGGCGTGGCAGTTACCTGTCATGGTGGTGAGATGGGTGGCAGTTACCTGTCATGGTGGTGAGATGCGTGGCAGTTACCTGTCATAAGGGTGAGATGGGTGGCAGTTACCTGTCATGGTGGTGAGAGGTGTGGCAGTTAGCTGTCATGGTGGTGAGATGGGTGGCAGTTAGCGGTCATGGTGGTGAGAGGCGTGGCAGTTAGCTGTCATGGTGGTGAGAGGCGTGGCAGTTACCTGTCATGGTGGTGAGATGGGTCGCAGTTAGCTGTCATGCTGGTGAGATGGGTGGCAGTTACCTGTCATGGTGGTGAGAGGCGTGGCAGTTAGCTGTCATGCTGGTGAGATGGGTGGCAGTTACCTGTCATGGTGGTGAGATGGGTGGCAGTTACCTGTCATGGTGGTGAGAGGCGTGGCAGCTGTCATGGTGGTGAGATGGGTGGCAGTTACCGGTCATGGTGGTGAGAGGCGTGGCAGTTACCTGTCATGGTGATGAGATGGGTGGCAGTTACCTGTCATGGTGGTGAGATGGGTGGCAGTTACCTGTCATGGTGGTGAGATGCGTGGCAGTTACCTGTCATGGTGGTGAGATGGGTGGCAGTTAGCTGTCACGGTGGTGAGAGGCGTGGCAGTTAGCTGTCACGGTGGTGAGAGGCGTGGCAGTTAGCTGTCATGGTGGTCAGATGCGTGGCAGTTACCTGTCATGGTGGTGAGAGGCGTCGCAGTTACCTGTCATGGTGGTCAGATGCTTTGCTGTCATGCTGCTTTTGTCTCCTTTAATCTTGAACATTTCCTCCCTCTTTCTGTCTTCCATTCTGGAGGTACACGACAAGTGCCCCATGAGTGTGTTGTAACTTCCTCAGGGCATCAGTCGAATCAGGAGGCCCTTGAAATCTGTTTGTCTCGATATTGGGACCTATGATCATTCAGGTAAGGAGAAATTCACCAGTTTTCTCCCCTGAAGTTACAGGTTGGTTTTTTTTTTTGTGATTAATAAGTAATGTGTTGGAAGATAGTTCACGACTGTGGAAATATTCTGTTCCCCCTCTGATGACGATTCCATCCTGGTCCTATTGTCCTTGCTGGTCATTCAAGGAAAGTGCAGCTGGCCGGTGCCCAGGCTGGGAGGCGCTGGAGGTGGAAGAGCCGGGCTGGGCAGAGAAGGAAAAGCAGGTAGGACGGGAATCTGTGCAGAGAGCAGGGAAGGCATTTGGGATGCTTCACCGGAAGCCTTAATGCCGCTCACGGAGGGGTGGGTGGAGGGCATTCCACTCTGCTTTAGTGCCCACTGGGCACTTCTGGGCCGCCCCAATGGGGCTGGCTCTTTGCTGGGATCATGCCCTGGAGAGAGGCCAGTTTGCAGGAGGCAACAGAAAGGCTCTTTCCCACCTCACTCCCCGGTGGCCTCTAGTGATCCCTGGTGGGGAGGTAGAGAGGAGAAAGCCCCAAAGGGAGAAGTACAGCGTTTGAGAGTAAATTACATCCAGGTAAATACTATTTTCAGAGTGCAGTGAACCTGCAAGGCTCCAGATCCCCGGGCCTGGCCTGGGCCCCCTAGCCAGTCCCCTCCACCGGCCCGCGGCCTGTTTGCTCTACTCCCTGCAAATATTTGCTGTGCTGTGGGCCACAACCCTCGGCCAGCAGTCAAGGTGCAATGGGGGTGGGGGTGGTTAGCGTGATGCCCACAGGACGTACACGCAGCCCTGGGAGGACGGGCCATGAGTGGCTGGAGGTGTATTTGTTTCCCAGCCTGTCATAACAGATGACCACGAACTGGGTGACTTGGCACAGCAGGTACTTATTCTCCCACAGCTCTGGAGGTCAGAAGTGTGAAATCCTTGGACGCAGTGATTCACGCCTATAATCCCAGCACTTTGGGAGGCCAAGGTGAGTGGCTCACCTGAGGTCGGGAGTTTGAGAGCAGCCTGACCGACATGGAGAAACCCTGCCTCTACTGAAAATACAAAATTAGCCAGGCATGGTGGCGCATGCCTGTAATCCCAGATACTCAGTAGCCTGAGGCAGGAGAATCGCTGGAACCTGGGAGGTGGAGATTGTGGTGAACCGAGATCGCACCACTGTCCTCCAGCCTGGATAAGAGCGAAACTACATCTCAAAAAAAAAAAAAAAAAAATTAGCCGGGAATGGTGGTGTTCGCCTAAAATCCCAGCTACTCGGGAGGCTGAGGCAGAAGAATCCCTTGAACCTGGGAAGTGGAGATTGCAGTGAGCAACCTCCAGCCTGCAAGATGGAGCAAGACTCCATCTCAAACAAAAACAAACAAAAAGTTTGAAATCGAAGTGTCCTCAGGGCCACCTCTTCCCAGGGCTCTAGGGGAGGAGCCTTCCTGGCCTCTTCCAGCTATGGAGGCCACCCGCACTCAGTGGCTTCCCACCTGTACCCTCCAATCTCTGCTGCCCTGGTCATGTTCCCTCTGCCTCCTTATATAAGAGGTCATGTCCCCTCTTATAAGGAAATTCAGCATTTGATTTCTGGCAGGATCCTGGGGACACTCGATTAATCCAGGATTATCTCTTTGCAAGATGGCAAACTGAATGGAACCTGCAAAGACTCTTTTTCCAATTAAGGTCACGTTCACAGGTTCTGGGGGTTAGAATATAACTTCAGAGTGGGGGCACCATTCAGCCCTCAACAGAGGCATCCATATGCCCCCTTCCACTCTGCACAAATGCTAATTTCTAATGTTTGCTTCTCTTTCTTTTCTTCCTTCCTTTCTTCCCTCCCTCCCTCCTTTCTTCCTTCCCTCCTTCCTTCCTTCCCTCTCTCCTTCCTTCATTCTTCTCCCTCTCTCCTTACTTTATTTTTCTTTCCTGCCCTACCGTCCCTTCCTCCCTCCCTCCCTTCCTTCCTTCTTCCCTCCTTGCTCCATCTTGCAGGCTGGAGGTTGCCCCTTCCTTCCCTCCCTCCTTCCTTGCTTCCTTCCCTCCCTCCCTCCTTCCTTCCTTCCCTCCCTCCTTCCTTGCTTCCTTCCCTCCCTCCCTTCTTCCTTCCTTCCCTCCCTCCTTCCCTCCCTCCTTCCTTCCCTCCCTCCTTCCTTGCTTCCTTCCCTCCCTCTCTTCCTTCCTTCCCTCCCTCCTTCCCTCCCTCTTTCCTTCCCTCCCTCCTTCCTTGCTTCCTTCCCTCCCTCCCTTCTTCCCTCCCTCCCTCCTTCCTTCCTTCCCTCCCTCCCTCCCTCCTTCCTTCCTTCCCTCCCTCCCTGCCTCCTTCCTTCCTTCCCTCCCTCCCTCCCTCCCTTTTCTTTTTTCTGTCTTGACAGGATCCCACTCTGTTGCCCAGGCTGGAGTACAGTGGCACAATCATAACTTACTGCAGCCCCTGCCTCCCAGACCCAAATAATTCTCCTGCTCAGCCTCCCAAGTAGTTGAGACCAGAGGCATGTGCCACTACACCTGGCTAACTTGGTTTATGTTTTGTAGACGGAATCTCCTGAATTCAAGTTAGCCTCCGACCTCAGCCTCCCGAAGTGTTGAGATTACAGGCACGAGCCACAGCACCTGACCGTCTCACATATTTTCTGAACATATTCTATATTGATGGTTGCAAGTTATTAATGCAGCCAGGTGTGGTAGCTCACACCTATAATCCCGGTGCTTTTGGAAGCTGAGGCAGGAGAATTGCTTGAGCCCAGGGGTTTGAGACCAGCCTGGGAAACATAAGGAGACACCATCTCTACAAAAAATTTTAAAATTATCCAGGTGTGGTTGTGTATGCCCGTAGTCCCAGCTACTCAGGAGGCTAAGGTGGGAGATCACTTGGGCCCAGTAGGTCAGGGCTACAGTGAATTATGATGGTGCCACTGCACTCCAGCCTGGGCAACAGAGCAAGACTCTGTCTTGATAAAAACCAGAAAAGTTATTAAAGCAGTCCCTGATGGCCGTTTTGGATCTACCTGAATACTTTTGTCTTCCCCCATCACACGCACACATGGATACACACAAAATAGCACAGCTAGACACACAGAGATGTACATGCCATCCACAGGTGCTTGCATAGAAATGTTCGTGGATATTGTATTCCTTCAGTCAACATATTTCTTTTTTCTTTTTTTTTTTTGAGACGGAGTTTCGCTCTTGTTACCCAGGCTGGAGTGCAATGGTGTGATCTCAGCTCACCTCCGCCTCCTGGGTTCAGGCAATTCTCCTGCCTCAGCCTCCCGAGTAGCTGGGATTACAGGCATGCACCATTGTGCCCAGCTAATTTTTTGTATTTGTAGTAGAGACGGGGTTTCACCATGTTGACCAGGATGGTCTCGATCTCTTAACCTCGTGATCCACCCGCCTCAGCCTCCCAAAGTGCTGGGATGACAGGCTTGAGCCACCATGCCTGGTCTTCTTTTTTCTTTTCTTTTTTTTTTGAGACAGAGTCTCACTCTGTCTCCTAGGCTGGAGTGCAGTGGCAAGATCTCAACTCACTGCAACCTCTGCCTCCCGGTTTCAAGCGATTCTCCTGCCTCAGTCTCCTGAGTAGCTGAGATTACAGGTGTGCACCACCACGCCTGGCTAATGTTTCTACTTTTAGTAGAGTTAGGGTTTCACCATGTTGGCCAGGCTGGTCTCGAACTCATGATCTCATGATCTGCCAGCCTTAGCCTCCCAAAGTGCTGGGATTACAGGCATAAGCCACCGTGCTTGGCCTATTGTTTTTCTTTTTTTGAGACAGGGTCTCTCTCTGTCACCTAAGCTGAGGTGCAGTGGTGCGATCTTGTCTCACTGCAACCTCCTCCTGGGTTCAAGCAGTCCTCGTGCCTCAGCCTTCTGAGTAGCCAGGACTGTAGGTGCCCACCACCATGCCCAGCTAACTTTTATATTTTTAGTAGAGACGGGGTTTCACCGTGCTGGCCAGGCTGGTCTCAAACTCCTGACTTCAAGTGATCTGCCCACCTTGGCCTCCCAAAGTGCTGGGATTACAGGCATGAGCCACCCCGCCCGGCCCCACACTTATTTCCTGAGTGGCCACTATGCACCAGGCCCTTTTGGAGGCACTGGAAACAGCCGTGGACAACACATCAAGTTCCAGGCCTCGTTTACCTTCTGGCAAAGCACACAGTAAGCACAGCACAGATCCAGGATCATGCAAGGCTTACACAGTCCCACTGCCCCCAGAAGTGCTGAGTGTGGCAATTACAGGCCACAAGCGGCAAGCGAATGTCACAGCCCTCGGTGCAAATAAACAAAGTCATCACCAAGGTAGTCACACAACAAACCACTGAAATATTTGTTAGCAGCAGTGAACCCCGTTGTTTTTGAGACAGGGTCTTGCTCTGTCACTCAAGCAGGAGTGCACTGATGCAACCATATCTCACTGAAGCCTCAATCTCCCAGGCTCAAGTGATCCTCCCGCCTCGGCCTCCCGGGTAGCTAGGACTATAGGAACACACCACCATGCCTGCTAATTTTTATTTTTTTATTTTTTGTAGAGATTGGGTCTTGCTATGCTGACCAGGCTCGTCTTGAACTCTTGGGCTCAAGCAGTCCTCCTGCCTCAGTCTCCAAAGTGCTGGGATTACTGGTAAGAACCACCATACCTGGCCTGAACCCCATTTTCAATATTTTTTTGGTTTGTTTGAGGCAGTGTCCCTCTATTGCCCAGGCTGGAGTGCGATGGCTCAGTCTCGGCTCACTGCAGCCTCCACCTGTCAGGTTCAAGCAGTTCTCATGCCTCAGCCTCCTGAGTTGCTGGGACTACAGGCAGGTGCCACCCTGGCTAATTTGCTTTATATTTTTAGTAGAGAGGGGGTTTTGCCATATTGGCCAGATGGGTCTCAAACTCCTGACCTCAAGTGATCCACCCACCTTGGCCTCCCAAAGTGCCCCGTTTTTGAAAGAACAAATCTCCGTGTTCCTGTGGAAACCCTTGGGATTATGGGTGTGACATAGAAGAGACTCAACGAAGAGGAGACCTCATGGGCCTGAAACAGCCAGAGGAGGCTGCGGCTGCTTGTTCACGCTGTATCTGAGTTAGGCTCCAAGGCTGAGGGGAGGGACATGGACCGCAATGGACCCATGCTGGAAGCTGGGGGTGATAAGTTGACGAGAGTAATGGACACACTATCTGGGCATCGTACCCCCACACTGGCACTCACACTGGTGGGGTGTGGCAACCTGACAGGCTGAAACACAGACCCTAGAATTCTCTTTCTAGTACAACCCCAGTTAGGGCGACGTGAGATACGGTCTCAGAAGATGGAATAAAGACGGCAGGCGTTCTGTCGCCACCACTCAGCTCCTCCCTGTCATTTGATCAAACACTAAAGGGATTTGGAACCTGAAAGGCAAATTAGCCAGCTGCTTTTAAGTTAATCAAAAGGGAGATGACTTGGGCCGAGGCCTGGCTCGATCAGCTTTGATCCTCTAAAAGCAGGCTCAGAAAAGGGGAAGAGACCACAGTGATTTCTGTGGTGATGGGTTAGAGCTGGAGATGCCAGGATGAACGTGGATGCAGATGGTTACACAGAGAAATAATATCTGCGGGCCGGGCGCGGTGGCTCACGCCTGTAATCCTAGCACTTTGGGAGGCCGAGGCGGGTGGATCACGAGGTCAAGAGATCGAGACCATCCTGGTCAACAAGGTGAAACCCCGTCTCTACTAAAAATACAAAAAAAAAAAATTAGCTGGCCATGGTGGCGTGTGCCTGTAATCCCAGGTACTCAGGAGGCTGAGGCAGGAGAATTGCCTGAACCCAGGAGGTGGAGGTTGCGGTGAGCCGAGATCGCGCCATTGCACTCCAGCCTGGGTAACAAGAATGAAACTCCGTCTCAAAAAAAAAAAAGAAAAGAAAGGAAAAGAAAGAAAGAAAGAGAAAGAAAGAAAGAAAGAAAGAAAGAAAGAAAGAAAGAAAGAAAGAAAGAAGAAAGAAAGAAAGAGACAGAAAGAAAGAAAGAAAGACAGAAAGAAAGAAAGAAAGAAAGAAAGAAAGAAAGAAAGAGAAAGAAAGAAAGAATATCCGCATGTGAATGTACACAGGTGAGTACACACGTACTTTCTCACTCCACAGGGAGAGGGCCTAGAAGTGAAGACAGCCTGGTAACAACAAGCATCTGTAGCTCCCAGACACTGGGAGTTTTGTTGTTGTTGTTGTTGTTGTTTATTTTTTGTTTTTGTTTTTTGAGACAGACTCTCGATCTGTCCCCAGGCTGCAGTGCAGTGGCGAAATCTCGGCTCACTGGAACTTCTGCTTCCCAGGTTCAAATGATTCTCCTATCTCAGCCTCCCCAGTAGCTGGGACTACAGGCACACACTGTCACATCCGGCCAATTTTTGCAATTTCAGTAGAGACGAGGTTTCACCATGTTGGCCAGGCTGGTCTTTATCTCCTGGTTTAAGACCAGCCTGGGCAACATGGTGAAACCCCATCTCTACCAAAAAAAAAAAAAAAAAATTACCCAGGCTTGATGGTGCACACCTAGAGTCCCAGCGAATTGGGAGGCTGAGGTGGGAGGATTGCTTGAGCCCAGGAAGCAGAGATTGCAGTGAGCCAAGATTTTGCCAGTGCATGCAAGCCTAGGCAGCAGAGCAAGATCCTGTCCCCAAAAAAAAAAAGGGCGGGTAACAGTAACTCACGCCTGTAATCCCAGCACTTTAGGATCACTTGAGGTCAGGAGTTCAAGACCAGCCTGGCCAACATGGTGAAACTCCATCTCTATTAAAAATACAAAAATTAGCCTGATGTGGTGGTGTACAGCTGTAATCCCAGCTACTCAAGAGGCTGACAGGAGAATCCCTTGAACCAAGGAGGCTGAGGTTGCAGTGAGCCGAGATCGCACCACTGCACTCCAGCCTGGGCAACAGAGCAAGACTCTGTCTCAAAAAAGAAAAAAGAAAAGAAAAGAAAGCAATTAGCAGTGTGTAGTGGCACGAGCCTGTAATCCCAGCTACTCAGGAGGCTGAGGCAGGAGAATTGCCTGAACCCAGGAGGCGGAGGTTGCAGTGAGCTGAGATCGCGCCATTGCACTCCAGCCTGGGTAACAAGAGCAAAACTACGTCTCAAAAAAAAAAAAAAGAAATCTGAATCAAGATGGACCTTAGTTAATAGTAATGCATCAGTATCAGTGTACTGGGGCCAGACACAGTGGCTCTCATCCTAGCACTTTGGGAGGCTAAGGCCAGGATGATCTTGAGGTCAGGAGTTTGAGACTAGTCTGGGCAACACAGCAAAACCAAATTGCTCTAAATTTTTTTTTCCTTTTTCAGTTAGTCAGCATGGTGGTGTGCACCTATAGTCCCAGCTGCTAGGGAGGCTGAGGGAGAAATGCTTGAGCCCAGGAGTTTGAGGCTGCAGTGAGCTGTGATTGTGCCACTGTGCTCCAGCCTGGGCAACAGGGCAAGATCCCATCTCTCAAAAAATTTTTCACTTTTTGTATTTTTTGTCTGTTTGTTTGTTTTGTTTTTCTTTTTTTTTTTTCTTTTGCGACGGAGTTTCTCTGTTGTTACCCAGACTGGAGTGCAAAGGCCCGATCTCGGCTCACAGCAACCTCTGCCTCCTGGGTTCAAGCAATTCGCCTGCCTCAGCCTCCAGAATAGCTGGGACTACAGGCGCGTACCACCATGTCCAGCTAATTTTTGTATTCTTAGTAGAGATGGGGTTTCACCTGTAATCCCAGCTACTCAGGCGGCTGAGGCAGGAGAATTGCCTGAACCCAGGAGGCGGAGGTTGCGGTGAGCCGAGATCGCGCCATTGCACTCCAGCCTGGGTAACAAGAGCAAAACTTCGTCTCAAAAAAAAAAGAAAAAGTCTTTTTTAGAGGCCCAGCACAGTGGCTCATGCCTGTAATTCTAGCATTTTGGGAGGTCAAGGCGAGTGGAGAGCCTGACCTCAGGAGTTCCAGACCAGCCTGGGCCACGTGGTGAAACCATGTGGTCTCTATTAAAATACAAAAACAAACAAAATAACACAATGTTTTTAAGAACCAAGGTCTTGTTATGCTGCTCAGGCTAGATTCTAACTCCTGGGCTCATGCGATTCTCCCGCCTCCACCTCCTGGGCAGCTGAGACTGTAAGTGCTTGCTACCACACCCAGCCAAAAAGTTTATATGGTTTTTTGTTTTTTTTTTCCAAGAGTGGGCTTAGGACTTCCTGTAGCACAGACTTCAAATAATGGTTGAGTCCACAATTGCGCTCCCTTCCGTCTGGATCTTTCTTCCTGAGCGCCTGTGAAAACAAGCTTTGGCCCTGCATGTGTGGCTCCAGCCTGCCTGATTGTCCTCTCCTGACAGTCAGCCCTGTGGACTCTGGGCTTGCTTAGCCAGCCCCACAAATGCAGAAGCCAACGTTTTACACATACATCTATCGATGTAGATGTATGTCTCTATGGTTTTTTTGTTTGAGACAGAGTCTTGCTTGTCACCCAGGCTGGGGTACAGTGGCTCAGACTCCGCTCACAGCAATCTCCTCCTCCCGGGTTCAAGCGATTCTCCTGCCTCAGCTTCCTGAGTTGCTCAACTGCAGAGGTGCACCAGCACAGCCGGCTAAGTTTGTATTTTTTGTAGAGACAGAGTTCCACCATGTTGGCAAGGCTGGTCTCGAACTCTTGCCCTCAAGTGATCTGCCTGCCTCAGCCTCCCAAAGTCCTGGGATTACAGGTGTGAGCCACTGCGCCTGGCCAGAAGCCAACATTTTATAAATAAAGCTGCCTATGCAGATGTGTGTCCCTATATGTTTATCTATATCTGTGTCTGTATATCTCTCCTACTGGTTCTGCTTTTCTCATTTGAATCCTAACACAACTGTTTTTATTTTTATTTTTTGAGATGGAGTCTGGCCCTGAAACTCAGGCTGAAGTGCAATGGTGAGATTTGGGGTCACTGCAACCTCTCTCTCCTAGGCACAACTAGTATTTTATAATCTGTTAGAAATTCAAATGTTTCTCAAAATATCAAGCTACATATTTAAATACATTTCAAATATAAACTTTTAAAATCATGTTATGAAACATTAAGTAAAATTCTACATTATTAGGACAGGGGCAGTGGTTTATGCCTGTAATCCCAGCATTTTGGGAGGCCGAGGTGGGCAGATTGCTTGAGCTCAGGAGTTTGAGACCAGCCTGGGCAACATAGCAAGACCCTGTCTCCACAAAAAATACAAAAATTAGCTGGGCATGGTGGATTGTGCCTGCAGTCCCAGCTGCTCAGGAGGCTGAGGTGGGAGGATCGCCTGAGCCCAGGAATTTGAGGCTGCAGTGATTCACGACTGAGCCATCACACTCCAGCCTGGGTGACAGAGTGAGACGCTGTCTCAAAAAAAAAAAAAAAAAAAATTAAATCAACATTATTATATAATTCTACTCTAAATTATTAGCAAATAAAATGAAATAAAATTAAGTATTATTTAAAAACAGACCAAGTTTGGCCAGGCATGGTAGCTCATGCCTATAATCCCAGCACTTTGGGAGGCCAAGTTGGGTGGATCACAAGGTCAGGAGTTTGAGACCAGCCTGGCCAAGATGGTGAAACCCCATCTCTACTAAAAATACAAAAATTAGCCAGGCATGGTTGTATGCACCTGTAATCCCAGCTACTCAGGAGGCTGAGGCAGGGGAATCACTTGAACCCCCGAGGCAGAGGTTGCAGTGAGCTGAGATCACGCCACTGCATTTCAGCTTGGGTGACAGAGCAAGACTCCATCTCAAAAAAAAAAAAAAGAAAAATAGACTGAGTACGATGGCTCACACCTGTAATTCTAGCACTTTGGGAGGCCAAAGCAGGGGGGTCACTTGAGGTCAGGAGTTCGATACCAGCCTGGCCAACATGGAGAAACCCCATCTCTACTAATAATACAAAAAGTAGCTGGGTGTGGTGGTGCACGCCTGTGATACAAGCTACTTGGGAGGCTGAGGCAGGAGAATCACTTGAACCAGGGAAGCGTAGGTTGCAGTGAGTCGAGACTGTACCACTGTGCTCCAGCCGGGGTGAAAGAGAGAGACTCTGTCTCAAAAAATAAGTAAATGAATAAATAGGGCCGGGCGCGGTGGCTCACGCCTGTAATCCCAGCACTTTGGGAGGCCGAGGCAGGTGGATCACAAGGTCAAGAGATCGAGACCATCCTGGTCAACATGGTGAAACCCCATCTCTACTAAAAATACAAAAATTAGCTGGGCACGGTGGCGCGTGCCTGTAATCCCAGCTACTCAGGAGGCTGAGGCAGGAGAATTGCCTGAACCCAGGAGGCGGAGGTTGCGGTGAGCCGAGATTGCGCCATTGCACTCCAGCCTGGGTAACAAGAGCGAAACTCCGTCTCAAAAATAAATAAATAGGAGCTAAACAATGGGTTCAAATGGACATAAACATGGAAAGAGTAGACAATGGGAGCTCCAAAGCTGGGGAGGAGAGGAGGCAGTCAAGGCTGGAAAAGTACCCATTGGTACTACACTTGCTGTTTGGATGACGGGTTCTCTAGAAGCCCAAACCTCCGCATTCCGCAATGTACTCGTGTAACACACCTGCACATGTACCCCATGAATCTAAAGTTTAACAATAAAAATAATCATCTTAGTGCAATAGACAATCATAGAAGTTTAATCATAAAAGCCCGAACATAAAATAGCACCGATTTTTACGACAAAGTCTCACCCTATCACCCAGGCCAGAGTGCAGTGGCACCATCTGGGCTCACTGCAACCTCCACCTCCTGGACTCAGGCAATTCTCATGCCTCAGCCTCCCCAATAGCTGGGAGTACAGGCGCCTGCCACCATGCCCAGCTAATTTTTTTTGTATTTTTAGTAGAGATGGGGTTTCACCCTGTTGGCCAGGCTGGTCTCAAACTCCCGACCTCAAGTGATACGTCCGAACTCCTTAAGTGCTGGGATTATAGGTGTGA